ATGGTATGATTGTGATTAGATTTTGATGGAAATTTTGTATGTAATATAATATGATTGATATTGGGCATGATGTGTGATGAAATGGTGATGAAAATTGGATGTTTGAGTGTAATGTGATTAAATGTAGGCATACGTGCCATGTGTGAAAGTGAATATTATGAGGTGATTGAGAATGTGGGCGAATGTATGTGTTGACATGCCATTGATTGATGATAAATAATATGAAATGATTGAAAGTGTGTGGAAATGGCATGTTGATATTGATTGTTATTGTGTTTGAATATGTTAAAAAAACTATGAATGGTTCAGCGATACACTGTGGATGTGAAAGATGGGGGCGGTAGAAATACCTTAGGGAAGAGAGGGTGGTGGTAACACCAACAGTGAGCGGGAGTGCACCATAGGCCACACACTCTTCTCTTGACTTGGTTTCTAACTAACACATTTGCTTGAGGGGCTCAGTACTGCAGACATTGTATCCGTGAAGCGGGAGCTATCCAACGACGATCCATGGTGTGAACTGAGTAAGTCCCTGAGGTTGAGGGCATCACAAATCTATGATAATAGTGCCACAGTGAGTGTGGCTACGTGCAGTGTGGATTGTTTGATGGTGCAGTGAGCTTATCTGTGTGTGGATTGGTATGAAATGTTAAAAAGTAGTAAATGTGTTGTTTGATGCATGATTGAGTTATGTTAGTAAATGTGTGAAATATACAAGGTGAGTCTTTGTGCTTGTGTGTGATACTGTAGTGTACTCACTCTTATGTTTATTTTTCAGGTGACCAAGATGATCAACACCGAACTCAGTGAACAGGAGGGATGAAATTGCTATATGACTTAGGAACTTGATTTTTGAAATTTAATGTATTCAATTTGGTCCTGTAGCACTCATTTGATGCAAACTTGTAACCCTCCATTGTTTTTGAAATACCTTATTAAACTATGTATTGGGAACTAATTAAATGGAATTTTATATATTCCCATTTGTTGCAAAAAAATTATTTATTTAAAAAATTTAAATAAAGGTGTTATAAACTGAGGAGGTCAAGACAATGGGAGAAGCTCCTAATCATTTTATATTGTGGCCTAGATGACATTCAATTTCCTACTGATGAGGTATACTTTCTTTCAGTTACTCTTTAATTTTCTATTAATTGAAATTTAATATCTAATGAGTATACATCTAATTGAATAGGATATTCGAGAAACTGCAAAGGATACTTTTCTTGAAAAGTTAAAAGGACCAAAACTTGATGTGCTTGAGCGCTTATGTCTAATAGAGATGAAGTTAGGAAAGAAACATTTGTAACACCTTAGATCTAATTCCAATTAAATAATAATTTCGCAAATCGGATAACCAAATTTTTCATAAAAGATTTTGAAATAAGTGAAGGGTTACAATTTAATATCAAATAACTACTACAGGACTAGTTCAATTACAACATTTTCAAAATAAATTTTATGTCCTATAGCAGTTCCATCCACCCCTTCACTAAGCCCGGTACTGATCGTCTTGATTACCTGAAAAATGAATGTAAGGGTGAGTACTTTACGCTACCAAAACATAATCAAACATAGAGTCTCACCTCCAACACATTTCCAATACCTTAAACAAACACAATCACAGGCAACATTTCACATCCATAAGTACAAAACACAAATCCATGCATACGCACACCAGCCACACTCACTATAGCACTGTGATCACAGATTTACACCATGAATGGTCGCCAATTACGCCCAGCTCACGGATACTATGTGGGCAGTCACGGGTCACTCAGCAAGGATAGTGGTCAGAGGTCTAGTTAGGAAGAGAGTGTGCGGCCTGTGATGCACCCGTTCCGCAGTCGGTGTCACCACAACTCCCTCTTCTTCAAGGCATTTCTACCATTCTCATTTCTCACATCTCCAGTGTATCACTCAACCATTCACAACATATTACAACGGCACTAATACGCCCAATCACACATATTCTATTCACGCATGCTGTAATCATGCTTACACATAGCACACAGTCCACATTCCATTTCACAGCACATGACATATAGCCTACAATTATCGTTTATATTACACGGCCCTTGGGCCCACATTTTCACAATATTCATTCAAATATACAGCACAAGTGCCCACATTACAATTCACATCCATTAATTTCAGATCAACACATATCATGTTCACATATCACGGCACATGGCTCACATTACATTTCTCAGTAATTTCCTACCTCCTAACTCAGCCACAACACAATATTAAGAAAAATAACAATAATTCATTGCACAAAAGAGTAGGATAGAGTCTTCCCTTACCTTAGATTGAAGACCCACACTCGGATTCGACTATGGATGTGCTCCCTACACAGATTTTGGCCTAAAACACATGGAAAAACTCCATGAGAACTCTAAGAAACCGAGAAACAGAGAAATGAGGATGAGAAACGGAACCCTAACCATTAAAACTCACCTCCAAGTGTTCTCCACATGGATTCAACCTTCAATCAAGCTCCCGAACAGATTTGGAGGCAATTAATCGGTGGAATAGGGCTTTGGGAACGAGAGGATCAAAGGAATTTTGAAGGGAGAGGGAGAAATAACTCTCCCTGAACCCTAACCCCCTTTAAATCCTTTTTTGGTCGCGACACTCTCGCTACAACGAGATATCCCTCGCTGTCGTTACAGCGAAAAAATCAAAGAAAACTGCACTCTGGTTTCTGCAGAATCTCGCTACAGGGAGACTACATCCAGAAATGCACCCCAAACTGTCGCTCTCTTGTTGCAGCGATACGTCTCTTGCTACAGCGAGAAAGTGACAGTTTCCGTCCTTCCTCCTAGGGCCCTCTCGCTGCAGCGAGAACAACCTAGTATCTCGCCCTGTACTTAGGCACTTAGCCTATTTCAGCCCAACCAGTTATGCATACACCCATCTACATATATATATATATACATATTCACAACATATATCTAAAAATACACACATAAATATACATTTAAATTTATATAATTATCAATAATTAATATTACAAAATTCGGGGTGTTATAACATTTGCAGCTACAGTATAAAGTTGAAATAACTGCAAATATATCTTCATTTCCATTGTATTTGACACAAAAGAACATTATGGTAGTTACAATAAGTGAGGAGATGCTTTGCATTTTAGTTATTCAAGCATGGTTAATGTAGGTTCATTATTTTTTATTGATATAATTGTCAAATGTTATTTTAAATAACTAATACTTAATTTTATATCACTATATTGTAGTTATCTATATCAACATTCTTGTTCAAAGAGTGTGGATGCTTTGTATGGATTTCTTGACATTCTTCAAATTCAGAGCTCAATGAATAAGGCTAAAGCTATCTAGTCATATATTCAGAAGAAGTTGTGTGAAGGAACTCAACATTGCTACCTTGCACCATTCCATTATGGGTAAGTGTTTGCTAATTAGCCTTTTCATATAACAGTTTTTACTTTTTTTAATGGTCATTTTGGTTTGTAGGAGTCATTGGCAATTGTTTATAATTTGTTCCAAACATAACGAAGTTGTCTTCCTTTACTCATTATGGAATAAGTCTAAGAAAGAAATAAAAGTCATAATTGATGTGTAAGTAATTACAAAATACTTGTTATAAATTGTTTTACGTATACAAAAATGGTCATTTAATTCATAAAAATGGCCACATGTATGTTTAACTGCCCTTTAAGTTTACTATTTATTATTTTCCTTTTAATTTTTTACTATTAGTTATTTTCTTTCATAATATTAAATATTCTTTATGTTTCTTCTAGTCACACAAACAAAAAGGGAGTTGAGAGTATGGATATTATGTGATAAGTATATATTTTATCATAAACATATTTTATTTATATAAAGTTAATTTTTTGTTTGTTATTTGAAATTGTCGATACTTAAAAGTTAATATCTTTTGTTTTAGATATTACTAATTCTTCAAAGTCTTTGTAAGTATTACAATTGATATATTTTATATAAAATTATTTATTTGTGCAAAATCTTTATAATGTTCATGTTCTAAAATTATCTATTTTAATCTATCTGTATTTCAAGTTTTAAGATATAATATAAAATAAATAATATATTTTTAAAAAATTATATATTCTACGTTGGTTGTTGACATAACCAATGTAGAAATTTGCTTCTACGTTATTTTTTACCATAATTGTTTTAGATTTTATATTTTTTACATCGGTTATGTATACAATCAATATAAAATCTATATTTTCTACGTCAATTCTAGATATAAATGATGTAAAAGGTTATTTAATTTTACATTTTTTACTAAGAAAAAAATATGTAGAAAGTGTAAATTTACATTGGTTATGAATGGAACTAAAGGAAAAAATATATAATTTTTACAGTTAACCGATATAGAATGTGATGACTTACTACATTGACCGACCTTATCTACGTCGGTTGTATAACTGATATAAAAAATCGTTTATAACGAATATAGGCCATTTCTGTGCTAGTGTGTCATAGGAAAAAAAATTATCCTATTCCCTTTCCCTGCTGTAAGATTTTGAACGTGGCGTTTAATCCAAAAGTTTAAAATATCTTAATTAATCTAAATTTAAAGTCCTCTTATGTATCTTTCTTATTTGATAACTCATTATTGTGGGACTTGTCATAACGTGTCTACCATCTTGGGCCATTGCTGTTCATATGAGCGCATTTAATATTCTCTCAACATATACTACTTCAAATTTAATTGATTTCAATTTTAGTTCTAACACTCACCGATACTTTCTATAATTTGTTTTTTAAAAATTGTGAATGTCTTATAACGTGAATTTCTAAACCATATGATGAAGATCGCTTATACTCATGTAAATGATTACTTGTGAAACTGAATCTGTTTCGTGTAAAGGAATTATGGGCAGGGACGAAAATAAATGATTTGGGCAACTGATAATTTGTAAATAAATACGCTTGCTGTTAAGTATGAAACCTATCTTTATTTGTATAAATAACACCAATGCGATGGGTTCATGCTTCAGAATTGGAGGGTTGCTTTTGCTTGAACGAGTTCTTTCTAGCTGATGCTAAAACGGTCTTGTCAGCTACTATGAAGTATGCTGCTACCGTCACTGCAATCAAAGTATAGTAGTTAAGAATATGGAAGTAACAATTTTCAGTATCTAAATCAAAGATCAAATTTAAGGTATCTGCGAAGAAGTTAATGAGTGTGCAAACCTGTGGAAATTATGAGAGCTTGAGCAGTGTGATTGAGATTGGCTCTTGCCCAAGGCACCATCCTCACACTAGCCAGCTGCACATCAAGAATAACTGGGATAAGATATTTACCACAATCTTTAGTAGCATAGTATACTCTGGTTGTTTTAAATTCAAATATAATTTAACTTTCATGGAAAAGAACATTTTGACCGAAAATCTAAGTGAATTAAGGTAAACTGAATAGGTTGGAGGAACAGAAAAGCTTACGGTAGGAATGGCAGTGGCAATGCTGGCAACAGCTGCTGCCTTAGCTCCTGCTAGCACACCCTCTGTTTACACACCAAATGAGAATACGTAAATTTAAATAAACATTTATTGATTATTGGGAAATTTACAAAAGCTCTCATCAAATATCAGATTTTTGACACTGGATTTTCGGTCTATATAGCATGCATATCAAAATTAGACAAAATATCAGTCCACGAAAGAAAAAGATAAATCATGGATAGTAATAATAATAACAGTAACAGCGTACCCATTCTCGTGTAAATTTCTTAAGAAATAAATAGAGAATAAAGAAAGAAAAGATAAAAGGAATGGATCGCATATATGACGAAGAAGTGAAAAATTACAAAGAAAAAAGTAAAGATAGATTTTTAATGTACCACGAGAGCAGCGCTTGGCAAAGGCGAGTTTTTTATCGAGTGAAGCAAAGGTAGGGTTCTCAAGGGGAGAACTAGTACCAACATTTCCCTTGCTCATCCTGAAAGAACTATTTAAGTAACTAACTCAAAGGTAAGCAAATAACGAATTGGAGGAGAAGCTTTGGATGAAGGGAGAGGGTTGAAGTTGCTGCGATATTTATAGAGTGGGAGAGAGAAAGTAACTAACTCGGCTCAATTCAATATTTTGATGGTTTCATCAGAATCCAACGTCTTTAGACCCTTGTTTTCACTTGAGTTTCAGTTAATGCTTATTCTGTTTCCAAAAATGCCATTACAATAAGACCCATTATGTTATTTCAAGAAAGTGATTTTACCTGCCTGTTTTAATCACCCTTCTTAGCCGTGTTAAACTGAAAAGAAGAACAAACAGTAACCACGTTCACATTGTTCAGCACCTTGGCAACAACAGGACCAAGATTAGATAGATACCTTAGATATGTTTACCTTCTTCTAATCAAAATGAAAATCTTTTTTTCTAAATTTTTTAAATATAAATTAACAGTAAAATACAGTATTAATTAACTGAAATTGAGTAGGGAAACAACGTGAAAATACCAACATTATACCTAAATTTTGTCCGACAGTAAAATCAATGTACTTTTTTTTTTCTTAATAGTTGATTGCTTTAATATATATTTATACACAGTTAATAAAAAGTTAAAAATAACATGTTTTTCTTAATGATATTTAAAAAATAGACAACTTATATTTTTATGAATACTTTTTAAAAGTTTAAGGAAATATTCTCATAAGAAAAAAAAAATATAAGATTCTCAAATGATAGAATTTTTTTATAATCTATAAAAAATTAATAATTAATTTATGATTATAATAAAAAATTATTTAAAATTACTGTAATTGAAATTTCAATATTCTTATCACATGTTAAAATCAACTTAGATCTCGTGTTATTTAATACTATCAAGCACACACATACAAGAGGTTGATTTTTTATATAATTATTTTTTAAATACATTCTCATATTATAATTTTTTTTTAAAAATTTTGATTAAACGTAAATTTAGTTAATATATATATTGTGAATAGAATTTATTAATTATTATACAGAGTAAAATATATTTTTGAAAAAATATTAATATTTAAAAAAAATATTTAAACCAAGCAGGATATTAAAACATTTTTAAGAATATTTAAGAGATACCAAATATATTTTTAAAAATAAAATATTTTGAAAAAGTTTCACAAAAATTTAAAAAAAAATTATATACCAAATACTCCAAAAATATTTTTAAAGTAATTTAAAATAATATTAAAATATTTTCAATATTTCAAGTGAAAATACGTTAAAAAATATTTTAATTGTTTAATTCACGATACTGCGCCTATTTGGAGAAAGCACGGGTTTAATAAATCAAGAATAGATTAGCTCCTCTATTTAGCAACGACTAAATATTTAATTAAAAATATATAAAAAAACACTCTTTAAAATATTTTTTAATTATTAATTAAAATTTGTTAAAATTATAATATATATATATATATATATATATATATATAAATTTTACTCATAATTCAATAGTTTTTATATTTTTATAATTTTAATTAATTATTAAAAATATGTTAAAAAAATTATGTTTGAGAGTATGTTTTCAATGCAGTAAAAAAAACTCGGCAGTAGTTTAGCCCAAAGTTGGGATGAAACCATGGGTTTATGATCAGTACCTCTCTATTGACCAAAACAAAACGATCACTGCCTCTTTGTACACCGAAACAACCAAATATTAGAAAAAAATTTTAAAGAATAGAAAAATAACAGAAGATCAATATCATGTGACACTGAATTTTGGTGAGGGGAACTGCAGAGAAACACGTGTTGGAATGTGAAATAGTTCAAGCAATTGCAATCATTCAACAGAAGAAGAAAATTTAAACGAAAGACGAAGGTTTAAATATGTTATTTTATTTAAATTTTAATTTTTTCAAAGAAAATTAATTTTAGTGTCCATTTTTCAAGATTTTAATATTTTTATTGTTTAATGATAACGTGAGTTGAAATTTTTATTTCAAAAATTAAAAATTAAAAGAAAAGAAATTAAAAGATTGAATTCAATTCATAAAAATATAAACATTAAAATTATATTTAAGTTTTAGTAGGGATAATAAAAAGATGAAGCAGAAAAACAAGATTTTGAGAGTGTTATTATAAATATTTTTTTGCCCTAAGTGTAATAACATAAGGATAAAGTATAACACTCCGTTTTCTACTCTCAAAAAATAGAATCTCTAATTTTTGTTTTAAATTTTAGCAGTAAGAAAGAAAGTTCTAACCTAAAGTACATGAAGTTCAACACATGCACATGCAATCAATATATGTCGCCTTTTATCTAAGTGTTAACTTCCACAATTAAAACTCTCTCTCATTACATTTTGGAGAATAGAAAATTTCACAGATGTTAATACAATGTATGCAAAACTCAAGTTATTAAATATGATGGGAAAAATATAGAATGAGAATCTCACCATGTAGTATAAATGATGACATGCGATTAATTAAATATGCAGCAATAAGAACAGCATTAGCCCAAAAAAATTTAAGAACTTTCATTTCAAACATTAAAGTATGGACTACCTCCATAAGATGATTTTTACGTTCGGCTACTCTATTTTGATATGAGGTAACAATACAAAAGAACTGATGAAGTATGCCATATTTATCCATAAAATTAGTAAAGGATGCATAAAAATATTCTTTAACATTATCACTTCTTAGAATGCATACACAAGTATTAAATTGAGTTTTAATTTCAGCATAGAAATTACAAAATATAGAAAAGACTTTAGATCTAGATTTCATAAAAAACAACCATGCTACATGAGAATAATCATCCACAAAGGTAATAAAATATTTAAAACCAGATTAAGAAGTAATTGGACAAGGGCCCCAAACATCAGAATGAACAATTTCAAAGGGGGTAGAGCCCTTTTATTTAAATAAGGTAAATAAATATTACGATGATGTTTAGCAAATTGACATGGATCACAATAAAAATTAGACTCCATACTAGGACATAATTTTCTAACAACTCCTAAAGATGAATGACTCAGAAGGTAATAAAGTTGGAAAGGAGACACTTTTTTAATTCTTAGAAGCAATAGAAGCTTGTGGAAGTCCTTCTTCTTCTAATAGATATAGCCCATTAGATACCCTACCTCTACCAATAATCCTTTGTATCACCAGATCCTAAAAAACACAAGAATCAGAAAAGAATGTAACTGAGCAATTTAATGATGAAGTGATTTAGCTAATGGATAACAAATTTAAGGGGAATTGAGGCAAATATAAAGCAGAGGATAAAGGTAAGGTTGAAACTGGGGTGGTACACCCCTGCCCTTAATATAGACAGTAAAACCATCAGCGAGTGTTACAAAAGAATGAGAACTGGGTAGACAAAAAGAGGAAAGTATACCTGAATCCCCAGTCATATGATCAGTAGCGCCAAAATCAATGACCCAATGCCTGGAAGAAGAGGAAAGACATGAAGTAGGATTACCTTTTTGGAAAAAAGTGGCTGTAGAGGATGTAGACGGTTGTTGAGAAATATGAAACTAAGTATACTGAATAAATTCTTTATCACTCATACGCATAGTATCTCTTTCTTTCTCCTGAGTAGCTGTATTAGGCTGAGACACCGAATTTGCAAAGCGAGAATTATCTTATGAGTGAAAAAATGACTGATTTTGTGGAGGATGAGTGCACTAATTCCGATAATGGCCAAATTCACCACAATTGTAGCACTGTAAAATACCACAACCTCTACTATGCCCACGACCATGACTACCTCTACGACCTTTACCACCACTGCGACTACCATAGTAATCGTATTGGACTACCAAGGCAGAGTGGTCAAGAGACTCATTTTCTGTAGTGCTCATGAGTTTCTCAAAGAAAGATTACATAACTTTAGAGACATTGGTAAGATTATCAATCTGCTTACTTGACAGAATTTGAAATTGAACTACCTTATATTCCAGATCAAGTCTGGGGAGCCAACTCAAAGCCATGAGTTTCTTTTCTTGCGCTATCATCTCGTCAATGATTTTGCAGGCTAAAAGATATTGTATCTCCTCATATGCTTAAACTAAAAAAAAAAAAATAGTCCATTAGCTTCTGCTTATTTTGTTTGGGTCAATAAAATTCTTACAAGAGAGCATACAATCAATTCAAATTATCAGATTTCTCAAAAATAAATAGCAAGTCCCATAACTCTTTCACAGTTTTGCAATGGGTAATAATCGCTTGTATTCGTCTATCAATAGAGTTTACTAGCAGCGCAAGGATCTTTTTGTCATGTATCGTCCATGTGTCAACATCCTTAGGATTGACAGGTGCCATTTCAGTCAAATGATTATCCTTTTCCATTCCACCCAAGCTAATCTCAACCAAATACTTCCACTCTATATAGTTCGTACCATCTCCATCGAGCTTAACGTTGGTAAGTTTGGATAAAGATACAATCTCTGTCACAGCCTCTTTATGTTGCGCATCCTACACATCTTGGCTATCACGTTCAGATATTGTATATCCGCATATGTGATGGAATTGCCTAGGTTTTGTCTCAATGGTTAGAAATAAATGCTGCACTCAAATTGTAAACGTTGAATTACTACATATTCTGGTCACCAAAAAATTTTCATCCCCATAGCAGCCATGGTTAGCCTTTTCTGAAGTTGTTATTTTTTATTTTTTTTTGCAGCGGCAACGGTGGTGGTCACGAAGGTGGAACCCTAGAAGGCTCTTGATACCATGTAGAATTAAGAGAGAGAAACATATCAGTGTGCTGGAATTGAATGCTCTACAATGTGTAGATACCCTTATATTTATAAGGACACATATGTAACCCTACTAGGCCATGCCCGTTATTATAATACTAACATAAACTTTAATCCTAATACGTTTATTGTAACTATTCATAATAGAGAGAAAAAAATTGGATTAAGGAGATTTTGTAAGTTGTGTGTTTTGTAGAATATTGAAGAGATTTAAGGAGGAGCAAAATCAGGATTTATGAGATTTGTGTCACGGATCAGAACAGCATCATTCCTAGAGGCACAAGGAAGGTTGGTGCCACTTTTGGAGTACTTTGAAACCTCTTGATCGGAGAATTCCACTCTTTGCCTGTAACATCCTCAAAAGTCTAAGACAATCCCTGAACCTTAATTATTATCTATTGACATATTTTAGGGTTTTTTTTTTCTTTTTTCTTTTCTTTCTACCTTCCCTTTTTGTTTCGCATACCATGTCATGCTGATGTTATTTACTATTTTAGCAACTACAATAATTGTTTCCCTTTTGTTATTTCTTAATCTCCATTTTATTTTAATATGTTTGAAATTAGACTATCTTGCTATTATATTCACTTAATTACTGAGTATTGTTACGAAGGTGTTTTAGTAAGTATATATATATATATATATATTGTCTTGGTTACGTACCAAATATGAATATCGAACCCCTCCCTCATCTCTCTTTAAGTAATGAGCTTGTCTTGACCTCACATGTAATCTTTCCTTTTTACATTGGAATTA